TAGTTTTGTAAAACAATTCTTTTTAAGAACATTTCCTTGAAAATCTCTGCCAGGCAGTCTTGATTAAAATACATTGTGTCCATCTGCTTTCCTCTTTTACTGCAAAGTAGTAAAAAAAAAAAAAAAAGGCTTAGGCTTTAAAGATGCAAATTGAGGATGTTTTGAGGGGTTTTCTTGTGTGTTTTTTAAAAAGCTGCCTTAGATTCTTGATGGTTTATTCTGCCACTTCCCTGCCCCACCTCTTCCCGCCTTCCTTGAAACTGTACCAGAAAAAATAAAACCAGAAGCTTTTGGTTTCCTGACCTTACGGTCACAGAATGCACATGTCCTTAGCTGTTTGTCTGTGGTGCTTTAAATTCATTGTTGCAGCATTTGAACCTATTCCAGAGTGTGTGTGGTGATGTGTTTTGTTATCAACTAGATGAATGCTGGAACTTGATGAATGGATGTCTATTAATTCCTAAATTTTCATTTGTCATAGAGGGCTTGGAAGAATTTATGCTATCAAACCAATGGACAGTCAAGGGATTATTTGTATCCAGTGGAGTTTACACTAAATAACCAGTTAGTGAAATGAACACTTTTTTTTCAGTTCACATTGAGGTTCTTTGTGTTACAGTTCTTGAAACATTACAAGTCTTGAATTCTGGAATGCAAAAGAAAATGGGAAAACAAGAGGATATTTTACAGTCAACGCATTAATTTTAACTTATCTCTTTGTCCTTCTCACCTTTTCAGTGACTGCAATAGGAAGAATTGTATTGTCCGTTGAATGTTCAAATGTGTGTTGAAAGAAGAGGGCTCTTGTGGTATTGGGATAAGGGATTATTACAGGCGAGTTTGGGTTCCCTAGATGACAAACAGGCCAAAAAAAAAAAAAAAAAAAGAAGAGCCTTTCATCACCCTGTTTATTTTCTTCCTTTTCTCTTTACTTCCTCTAAAGAAAGTCCTTTAACAGATGGAGGATAGCACTTTACCAACAGGCGTTTCACTTGTGCCCAAGATAGATACCTAAGGAGAGAGCAGTGTGTCCGTAACATGTGCTTCCTTGCACCTTTGTTTCAGAAAGGCAGTGGAATTCCTTTGCCTTTGAGCTTTTTTGTCAAGGAAAGTGGAACAGTAACTTGCATAAAGAAATATTTAGAGGAAGTCCCAGATGTGAAAATCACAGGTTGTAGCTCTGTTACAGATCCGATGGAGTGATAGCTGCTTGAGACAGTGGTCGAAGCCACTGATTCATTAGAGACAGTGAATGAATCCCCTGATTCCAGTTGCTTAAACAGCAGTGCTGCAATAAAATGAATGTCATCCTGAAAATTTTCTCATATGGATAACCTGATCTGCTTTAAAAACTGTCCCAATTCCAGTAACAAATTAACTGGTCTAACCACCATTTCAGCTTGCATATGCCTGATGGTCTTGCCAACAGAGGGAGGGGGAATGGGATTGCAGGACAGAGGGTTTATGTGTTTCAGGATAAAAAGGAAGAATTCTTTTTTTGTGTATATCCAAGGAAGAGGTTTGCTGGGGAAGGGAGTCCTCTCTAATGAGAGATACGTGCAGTTCTGCTGAAGGAGGAGGAACTGGAAGGAAGGAAACAGGTCATAGTCTGAAGGCATTTGTCCATTGATGCTGCAGCTGTATTCTTACAGATTTGGCAGCTGCAGCTTTTCCGGAATCGTGGTTTTTATTCCAAGAATTCCTGTTTAATTAAATTCTTACCTTAGTCTGACAAACTTTGAATGTTTATTTCCTACATTGTAGAGGGGTTTTTTCAGTTACATATGGTTTAGTATTTGTTAAAGAAGGAATCAGAGAAACTTACTGTTTTGTTTTGCTTTTAAAGTAAACTTTGACTATTAATAGCTCTTTAGCTATGTATTGAAAGGACTTTAATATTAGAATATGGGGTTCTGAAAAATTAGAATGGTATTGCTCTCCAGAAGGCTAGGTCTGGGGGTTTTGCCCTTTTTTTTTTTTTTTTTTTTCTTTTCTTTTTTTCCTTCTCTGTCTTTTAAGGGTTAGAATGAGTCAATAGATTGCCATCACATTTCACATTTAGTATGGCACAGGCCATATAGTTTAATTACTTGTTTGATTATCCCAGTTTTGCTCTTAAGGCTTGGAAATAGAATATTTGACCATTTCCATTGGCAAGGGGAAATATTGCAAGTAATTTTTAATAGAACTCTTTTGCCTTTGATTTTAAGATATTGATTCTTGACTTGACTGACTTCCCATGCCTACACGTGTCTTAAGCAGATGTATTTGCTTTTAAAATGTAACCAGGTCAACTACTGGTCATCCGTCAGTTTGACTAATCAAGAAGTCCTCAAATCTCTCGGTGTACAAACCACTTCTTCCCCCCCAGTGCCCCCTTTCCCACATATTGCTCTCATTTGCTCCATACTTTCATCCTTTCAACAGTGTGGATCTGGAACAATGCACACTATATGTTTTGCCATCCAACTGTTTTTATTTAGACTTGGACCATAAATTTTAGAGCTGGGGTAATTTTATGTTCGGTAAACGTAATTATTTACTCTGGTGTAGAAAGTGTGGAGGTAAAGGGTATGGTTATAAGGTTTTATAGGGTCTTCTGAATCCTCAGTTCAGTTTCTCCAGTGTGCTGCCTAGTACAGGAGAACTGCCATCAGCTTCTCATAGCTTCTGTTGCTGGTACAGACTCTCACTGTTCTTACTCATTTGTTTAATTAGAGCAATATGACTGTTTCATGTTGAAGCTGTTTTGTGTTTACTTCAGTAAGGCATTAATTTTA